TTCTGTCTGTCTTCTTTAATTCTTTATTTAGTTTATAATTAACTTCATCCAGAATGTGTTCAATGATACCACATTTGAGAACTAGAGAAAATCAAAGGTTCATGTGTATATATATTTTAAAGTATAAAACAAAAGTTATATGATATGCTAAGAATAGTACAAATACTTATGTTTATTAAAGAAGGCGTCACTTCGATCACATGTAGATCCAAATAATGTGGCTTATAATATAAGATTTTCTTTCGTCTGAGAATCGAAGGATGAGTTTTCAATCGAACAGTTTATGAGATTTTTTGATGTGGTTCTTTTTTATTTTTGCGTTCTTATGCTTATTTTGACCGCTGTTATGATTCTTTCAGCAAGCTGATCTGCGAAATAATTAACTTGGGTCGTAGTACATATTTTGTTACCGAAACTTATCTATTATTTTTGAATGAAGAATAACGAAATAAAATTAGAATTATACGAATTTCGCATAACCATTTAATGCAATATCAAGGAAAAAAAAAAAGAACTAAATACTTACATGATGGAATTGAGAATCAGTAGAAGGAAGGGCCCCAATTTATCATATACTAATGAAGATTGCAAGTCTTCGCGATCACTCACAATACAATTGTATGTATTCTTTAAAATTATTGACGTTAACTGTACATTATTCAAGAACTTTTGAACTTCCTTAACACTCCGCCAAATCGTATGCTAAGAGGGAAATTATGTCATCATCAAACCGGGTCTTAAATTTTTGAAGATCGGGCCTAAAGATGACCCACGTGTAGTCACAGCATTTCGGAACAAGTAGTGAGAATTGGTTGTTCGATTACGATCATAAAGTTTGGCGATATTTTTGTCATTTGAAACTGTTTCCAAGATGAACTCAGTATTGTATATATTTGCTAATTTAGCACCGAAACCATTACGACCACCGGAAACTTTCTTTTCCTCATCATCATAATTGGAAGCTGCGAAAAGATGAGTTGAGACTTTTTCATCCTCGTGCATTCAATAGGGATTCCTTTTCCGTTATTAAAGATGGAAATTTGACGTTCTTATTCGTCAATAAAAACTTTAATAAGGTTCATTTTATCGTTTCGAACCTGACATTAACGAAAAAAATTTTAAATAATCAACACAACTTAACGATCAAAGTAACTAATAGACGTTTATAATAAAGTACCTTGTTGTCGGCAGCGTTTACTAAGATACATCCACTATTTTATATAATCCAGGTACATAGGTAATTTCTCTATAAGAAGAAAGATATATTAGATGATAATACATACATAAGGATATTATGTAAGACGTGTTGTAAACCTCAAAAAAATTACCTGTAAGTAAGCCTTTGCATTTCAAAATCAAAAACCCATCCCTTTTCTTTTAAGATTCAAGTAAACCAACATAAGAGTCGGGTCTCAGTAAGACATGCTCAATTGGATTCTTTTATATATTTCTTCAACTGTTTTTTCTTGGCTCTACTTGACGAGGCTACAACTTCTTCAATGTGTTGTTAGGTGTGTTTTGTTTAAGTGGCTTGGTAACCGCTTTTTAGGGTTTTTGAAATGGGCATTTTGTTTTCGAAAAACGTAGAAAATTTTGTGACGCGACGTTCAATTTTTTTTGATAACTAAGTAACGGGAACCGTTGGAGCGTCCTAAGCGTAATAGCCACAGTTACATAATCAATATTGCGCCATGATGATCGAAGTTATACATAACTGACAATGCTAAATTTAATGATGCCGTGATAGATCGAGATTATCACACATTTTCACACAATAAACTCAAGAAACCGAAAATAATTTTCAACGAAACTTGTAATTTATTTTTAATTTTTAAATATTTATATCAAAGAATATTTCGAGGAATCATAGAAATTAAGCGTCTTTCTTCAGCTAATCTCTCTTACAAGCTTTAACGCATTGGAGTCTTTCAAGCGAAAATGGACTAAAGATGATATTTTCAAGAGCACAGACACAGGATATTGCCACAAATGATAGACTGGCAGCAAACTCCTTTTTATCAAGACGGCCTTTTGCATCATCAAACCTTGACTTTTATGTACTGTTAATGTGTAATCTTTTCAGATTACAACTGTTAGACGCGGTGTCAGAGGGTTGACTCTTTTTAATTGAGCAGTAATTCTTTTAATAGTTCATAAGCTTTAACTCAGACGGTTTGTCAAAAGTATTTATACAGTTGTGTCAGGCAATGATTCAACTGGTTGCAAGTAAGTTATATTGGTAAAATAATATGTTTATTCACAAGTAAAATAATAAAAGAGAAAGAAAAATTAACACGATAGGCCAATTGCCTCTAAAACTATAATGTCATGTGATAGGCCTAGTTGCCTCTTAAATACTATCTTCTGGATTGGTTACCTATGTCAGCTAACAAAAATACACGAAGAGAAAAGTAGCGTTACGCTATCTTTTACAAGAGAGAAGATTTCTATACAGCTGTTTATCTCTTTCTTTCTAACTTACAAAAGGGTTTATATTTATATCTATTTTACTACATATATTGACATATCTAATATATTAACTATGTTAACTATATCTACTATATTAAACATATCTAATATGTTAAACATATTAACTATATCAAACATGTTAAACATGTTTGATATGTTTGATATTATTGATATTTTATACTTTGTCACACATTTGTAGATTTATGATCATTTTCCGATTACAGTACTGTGATGGTCCACGTAAGACAAATAGGGTATGTCTAACGGATATAATCAGAACCAATTTTTTATTTTCAGCAGTCTCAACAGTAGGGCTAGAATAGTTATTGAATTCTATCAGAACTGCATTAGAAAGAGAAGGAGGATCCTGATTTTTTTTGAAAACGATCTCTTTAACGATTCTTATTAAACCATTAACCAACTCAGCTTCAGTCCATAAGTTAGTCTGAAGCATAACTTTCGCATCTCTTGCCATTAGCAAGTAAGCTTCAAGCTCTTTTGAAACGTCAAAATTTGCTTTACGTACTTTACTACTACCAGTATGAATGACATTTATCGTAACTATAGAACAATTTAAAGATTCAAGCTTGTTTAAGTTAAATTCATTCACATCAGACTTCTGAGAAATGATGCATGATGCATTTGAAAAGTGATTACAATCTAAAGACAAAACGGTTGGTGAATCAGAAAAACACATAGTTAGCAAATTCCAGTCATATTCAGTGGATTCTTCATTACACAAATGTATCAAGAGTAATATAAAATTGTGTTACTCTTCTGAATCTCCTAACTGACGTTAAATAATGTCAAGTTTATAAACCTCTCAGAATTGAAAATAAACAGAAATATCATTATTTGATAGTAAATTACGTCAAGAAATTTGTGAATACATAGATTCATCAAACACAAGAGGAAATTAACTGAAGTCACCAACTAGAATAAGAGAGCAATTACCAAATACTTGATTTAGTGCTCAGAAAAAGCTTAACGCAATTAAATGTCAATCATAACAAGCATGCGACGTCTAACTATGTTTTTTTCATCAATAATGAAATAGCTAACCCTTTTAATCTATTTTGTAATTTTTTAGGCTCTCACTATTTAAATCAATATTTTGCTAGATATCAGAATGAATAATATTGAATGAATTATTATATCATGAATATTAAATATCGTAACTCCTATCAGTGTAAGTACTACAATAGATGATTCAGCATTGGCATTCTGTCTACTTGTGATTTCACAGAGACAATTACAAATCATATCAATTAAGTACAATTTTCTTGTATCTGCAATTCTCATCATGATCAGTATTAGCAGTTTAAATGTGTAAAATTTGTAATTAAGATAGAGTAATATGATTTAATTTGATTAAATAACGTCATCTGCTTCTCATTCAAAGTTTGATAATTTAAAACACATTTTGCAACAGTATTATCATTATTCAGGTCTAATTCGCAAGCTTACTGAATAAAGTTTTATGTATTTGCAAAATCAAAATAGGAATAACGTTGTTTAACGTCACTAATTCAGTTATAATTAATGTTAATATTACGTAAACCCAAATCAGATACAGTCTTAATGATAACGTTTAGTTTTATCTCTAAAAGTATCATTCAATCAGAACATATATACTCATTATCTTTCTGTTCTTCGCAATCTTA